GCAGAGAGGTGGGCATGGCATGGAATTGGTAGCTTAGAGCTTACACAGAGAGGCTGGGCCCGGCATGGACTTTTGAAACCTCAAAGCCTACTGGCACACCTCCTCCAACAAGTCTGTGCTGCTAATCTTTTCCAAAACTGTCTCACCAACTAGGGGTTAAGCTTTCAAATATACGAACCTATGGGGCCACTCTCACGGACCTGTTCTTCAGGTCTGGATCCTGTACACCCCCCCTCAAAAAATAAAAAAAAAAAGGAGAAAGCAAGCTAGGCACTCATCACTCTCTGCCTCCTGTCTGGTTGCAAACTGATTGGCTGCCTAGAGTTCCTGTCACCATGCCTCCCCTGCCACGATGCACCAATGCACCATGCCTTTAAACTGAGAGCCAGAATAAACCCACCCTCCTTCCTTCCTTCCCTCCTTCCCTCCCTCCCTCCCTCTGTTCCTCCCTCCCACCCTCCCTCCCTCCCTCCCTCCCCCTCTCCCTCCCTCCCTCCCTTCCTTCCACTTGCTTTGTTAGGTATTTGGTTGTAGCAACAGAAGTACCTAACACACTAATCTACCCTATTCTAGGAATGCAGGATATGAGGTAAGAGCGTCGATGGACTAGAAGGATAAAGCACTGTCACGGCAACTAGCTGAGCCTGTGCACAGCCCGTCCATCAGTCCGTCTGTCTGTGGCACTTCAGCCCTGTATCTGCTCTACTCACCCACAGGTCTCTTCTCTTTCTCTGTTTATCAGGTTCTGCTGCTTCAGGGAGCTATAGAGCTAGACTGACTCTTGGATCCTTGCTTTATTTAAATATTTGTTTTCATTTTTATGTTTGCGTCGTTTTGCTACACACAGGCACATTTATAGTGTGCCTCCTACAGAAGCCAGGAGAGTCCAGACTCTAGGACTGGGACTGTGGAGTGTTGGGAGCCACAGTGTGAACGATGGGAACGAAATCCAGATCCTCTGCAAGAGCGGCAAGGGTTCTACCCACCGAGACCTCTCTCTAGCTGTAACTTTGTACTTTGAATGAGGGTCTGCCTGATGACGACATGCTTACTCTTCTAGGTGCTGTTAAGTTTAATTTCCCAACTGAAACTGTGGTCGTGACCTCATGTAGAGTCACAAGACTGAATGGAGGGGGTGGGGTGAAAGTTGGCAGCCATAAAAACTTTAGGAAATTGTTAACAACAAAAATTGATCCAAAACCATAATAAATCTAAGGTGTTTCTGGCAGTGCTTACCTGTGTGGCATGGTGCAGCTTCACGCTGGGCTTGGCTCTGAACACACAACAGTCTCTCTTTGCACACACCCTCAGAACCACACAGCACCAACGGATCCTGTCCGAAATAGCATGGGTTGAAGACCATCCTACCTTATGAATTATTGTGAGTTTACTACATGACAAACGTTTCTGCTGTTACGGAAACATGGTGGCTAAGTTTTAGAAAACAAACATGACATTTTCTACCATCATTCCTCAGAAATAAATATCAAATTAGCGTATGTTAGGATTATAATGTGTTAAACTGTTTGTTTTTTTTTAACTGCAGTTTAAGTTGCTGGCTTGAGTTCCATTAAAAAAAAAGTTACATGAATTTTGACCTAGGGTTTAGGACAGAATATCCAAATATTTTTGAAGTTGCCCTAAACATATTTCTGCCATACTACCAATATGGAGTAATGTATTTATGGGAAACTTCATTCTCAGCACTAGTGATTCCAAAAGTAAAATATTTATCAACTCTGAAGATATTCAAGATGTTCTATTCTCTGCAGGTTCAACTCCTAAGCCAGGATTTAATTCTTCATGCAAAAAATCACCACCCACCTCATTACTATGCCCACTTGCTTCTGTCTTTAATAAGTGATCAAAGTACATGTTTTTACCAAATCATTATATTAAAAAATATTAACAACTTCCTATCAGTGAATATTTGGTGTGTGTGTGTGTGTGTGTGTACATGTACATATACCACCTGCAGTCTGGGGTTGTGTAAAAGTTTCTAAGACAAAGTGAGATTATAAATGGAGAAACTTGATTAGCCCTTCTTTTAATCATGGACCACATGATGTCCCACCACTGATCATCTGTCTGCTCCTCCAAAGCAAACAAACCAAAAGCAGACTCTGTGAAGAATGAAATGACGGAATCGAGGTCTAGTTCTTTGTTTTTCATAAAATGTTTTATTCTATCAATGACTCTAAAATGAGAAATCTATATATAGTGCTTTTTCTAAATGTGGCCTTTAAAAAATGTTATGTTTTCTTCTATTTGTAATCCAGATATCCCCATATAATATATATTATGTTATAATATATAACATATAATATATAACATGATATATGTTATAATATATAATATCATGTTATGTTATTATATATTATGTTATAATATATAATATGTAATATATATATTACATGGGAGAAACATTATGAGTTTTGGATTTATTCATCTTATTATTCAAAACACAAAATTATTATATTATTTTCCCAAGTTGTTTTGGCTAGGTTTTTGTCTAGGAACAAATATTTAAAATGTTTATACCTTTAGAATAACAAAATAAGCTATATTAATTTATTTTGTTACAAAAAAAATACATAAAGCAACTAACTTCATAAAGAGAACTGTTATTTAGTCCAGTTGTTCAAATCCCAACCCTCCAAGACTGTGTTCATTCTTACACTCTCTGAACAATACAGGTCCTGGTACATGTTACATCTGACATCTCAGCCTGGCATGCATGGTGCAGCTGGAGCTTCGAGCATCAGCGAGAGCTTTGGTTCATGTCCTCGCCCAGTGCAGTGCACACACCTCAGAGGGCAGGGCACCGGTATCTACAGCATCCTTGAATTTCTGAGTCACTGTTTCCCATCTCATCGTTCATCTGGATGGCGACTAAGCCTTTAATTGATCGTCACACTTTGAAACTAGAAACCTGGGGTATGTATATATTCAATATTTCTTTTCTAATTTGGTATTTTCTGCCTTTTTAAGTTATACTAAGTCAATACTTTTGCTGGCCAAAGTTTTATATGTGCTTTGAGAAATGTAGTCTTCGTTTGCTAAACTATACTTCAAATCCTTCAAATGAATCCTCCCATACAATATCCCCAAACCATTAAAAAGTCTTAGACACAGCATCGACATTCTTCACTACTGTGAACCAAGTATGCAGAGGATCCTATATCGATGGTATTTTGTTCACACATGTACATCTGAATTTATGTTCTGCACATCTGGGGCCAGTTTTGAACCATTGGGTGCTTCCTTCATTTGCTGCTCCATTTGGTTTTTGTCATTGAATTGAAATGACTTTCAGGAAAATAACATCAAAGTTGCTTTACAAAGGTGGTCATGTTGCTCTTTAACTGTATCAAAGATGCCGAGAACAAGGGCCTGGGGAGATGACTCAGTGGTAACAGTACAAGCATGAGAACCTCAATCTGAATCCTCAGCACTTAGACAAAAAACGTGGGTGTGGCTATGCATAGCCCTGTAACTCTGGTCCTCTGGAGAAGGGAAAAGACAGGAGAATCCATGGGGCTTGCTGGTTGTCAGCTTAGCTCCAGGGTCAGTGAGAGATCCTGTCTCAAGGGAATAAGATGAGGCATCTTTCCCTGGCTTCCCCATGTACTCAATAGGTGCACACAGCCATGCATACTTGTACACGTAACACACCTACACACACACCACATGAAACATTTTTTTTTTTAAGTAAGAAATTAGACAGAAAAGAACAGTCATACAGTTTGGATTCAAGATACCTCTCCTAGTTAGGGTTTCTTTTGCTGTGATGATACACCATGACCAAAAGCAAGTTGAGGAGGAAAGGGGTTTATTTCACTACACTTCCACATTGTAGTCTATCACTGAAGGAAGTCAGGATAGGAACTCACGCAGGGCCGAAACCTAAAGGCAGGGGCTGGTGCAGAGGCCACTGAGGAGTGCTGCTTACTGGTTTGTTTCCCATGGCTTGCTCAGCTTGCTTTCTTATAGAACCCTGGGCCAACAGCCCAGAGATGGCCTCACCCACAATGGGCTGGACTCTCCCACACTGATCACTAATTAAAGTGCTCCACAGGCTTGCCTATAGCCCCATCTTATGGAGGCATTAGTCAATTGGGGTTCTCGCCTGACTCTAGCCTGACTCAAGTTGACCTAAAATTAGCCAGAACAGTGCATATTTGGTGGAACGAAAAAGTGTAAAATCTCTGTTGTCCACAAAGAACATATGCTGCCAATAAGGCAATTAGACTTAAAACATGTTAACATTTTAAAATATTAAAAAGAAAAACCACTGTGTGGTGGGAAAAAGCAAAGGAAGGGACATTGTATAAGGCTGTGTAACACAGAGTGTAGGACTCCAGGTCTGGAATCAAGGTAGAATTTTAAAGCATAGAGAAAAATTAAATATTCATTACACATTATCCTAGACTGTATTCATCAGCTGCAAGTAACATGAGACCTAATCAGTAGATGGTAATGGAGGCTGCGTGTTCCAGAGACGTAAGGCTCTCAAATGTCCCATCTGTTCGGGTCAGTCAACAGGGTCTCCAGCGCAGGAGTGAGGATGCACGCTTCCAATTCCCATGTGCTTCACTGTATCCTGCTTACTGTAGCTCCAACGTTGAAGTGCCACTATGTAACGGCCCGTTTGGCCCCATGGTTGGGGTCACTCTGTAACGACCTGTTCTGCTGCTCCAGTCCACGGGTCAGGGTCTAGCAAGAGAGAGAGAGTGGGGATGGAAGGGTAAGAGACTCGAAGAATGGAGACAAGACAGAGGTTCTGATCAAGTCTCTCTTTATTGAAAGGAAATCCTGGGTATTTATACCCTTTGCCACGTGCCTTGCCCTCGTGGACAAGGAGGGGAACACAGCTGAAGGCACTATGCCACGTGCCTTGCAGCATGGATACCACGTGAGCCTTGCAGCTGGGGGCACTAAACGGCAAAACAAGATATGTGAGAAAAACAAGATGTTTAGCAGAGTGTGCTCAGCTGTTGTGGGCTGTTGAAAACAAGTCTCTTGTCAGGGTATATGGCTCGAGATGGCTGCAAAGATGATAGCCGCTTTCTGCTCGGAGTCAGCTCCCAACACTCAAAGACCAAGCTTCTCTATCTCCTCATCTCCCTCTGGAGAAAGTGGCTTGGTTTTGTGCTCAGTCACACAGCATAAGCTAGGGTGAGGAAGGGGGCAGGAACCTGTGGAAAGATGGAAAACTTTTTCAGAGCCCCTTAAACTTCATCTTCTTTACCCAAATTGGTTCCTGTGTCTACCAGTCTCAGTTGTGATGGAGCCTTGAAAAGCAATATTTGAAAATGAATAGGTTGGTAAACAAATAAATCATTCTAATCATATTGTTTGTGCACCAGGAAAAAGAGGGATGTTGGAAGGGAGCTGGCAGTCTGTCTGGAAGTTCTGTCATTCGTTCGTTATCAACACTAGAGTTGTTTTTGACAATCTGACTTGCACAATCGCTGTAACTTTCCTCCACCGCTACCTTCCGAGAGAAGGCAGGGGGCTTCTCTCGTGTTGCACTCTATGTGGTGACTTGAATGAGATCATTCTCGTGAAAGGAAATGCACGAGGATGTCTCCCAGGATCTTTACGTCTGTCTCCACCTTCCCCAGCTGCCTCGTTTCTCATTGCCCCATACAGACTCCCCGTTCACATGCCTCTGTTCTGAGCCCGGCTGTGTTCGTTATGCATCTTTGCAGTGCTTTGCCTCTCTGTTCCCATCTATCTTTCAGTTTTTACTTGAGGCCGTTACTTGGAAAGTAAAGTCATCATCACCGTTCTAGGATCTGGGTGGGAAGCCTGAGATGAGGACGGCAGAGTCTGGTTGGGATCTTCTGGCTGTCAGGATAAGGCAGATGGTTCACCTGCAAGGTCTGGGGACAGGACCAGTCTGTCTTCCTCCACTTCCAAAGTCACTAATGTCATAACGGGAGCTTCATTCTCCTCATCTCACTTAACCTCAACTTCTTTCCACAGTCCGCCGACGCCAACAATTGTCAGCCATCATCAGCTAAGGAAATCAGGAACTAAGTTTCTACTACTCAACAGAGGAAATCAGGAACTAAGTGTCCACTCCATAGACTTTGAAGGGCTCTTTCCGACTGCCGTTGTCAAAGCCTCTGACCAACTGCCATTTCCACTTCAGTGTTGAAGTGCAACAGATGTTCCTTCCTTTGGGGATGCTTTCCCCAAACTAGTTAAAATGTTCCCTTTCAATGAGCCCTTGCTTACCAGCTCACGCGGCATAAGAAAAGCCTCCTACCTTCAAAGCATTTCTTTCTCAGTCTTTCCCCCTTAGACTGATTCTTTGGTTTCATTATCCTTAGACAGAAGCACAAGAACCGACAGGAAACACAGCTCGGAGAGTGTTTGATGTATGAATAAACAGGTGGACTCTATCACTTGACATTTCAAACAGCACTGCCTGGAGGGCACACGGGGAACAAAAGCCAGAGAGGTTATAGAGAAAATACATCACGATCCAGGTGGGAAACTGTAGCGTGGTCCTGTCAGTGTTCAGTAGGTTAAACAGCCAAAACAGGAGCAGACAGAATACTTGAACAACATGGTTAGCAGACCTAACAACATATAGGAAATATAAAATACCGCAGAACACATTCTTTTATGTAGACTTGTGACACATACAAAATTAAACTGAAACTTGTCATGAAGCACACTGGAAAAAAATCAAACCAGAAATAATAGGAAGGATAGATTCTGATGATAATGTAACAATAAAACAAAGTAGTAAAATATAACTGGGGGCAGGGAGGTGGCTCAGTGGTTAAGACCACACATGACTGCAGACCCAAGTCTGGTTCCCAGCACTCATATTAGATGACTCACAACTTCCTGTAGCTTCAGCTGCAAGGGCAAAGGGTCACACCTCTGGCCTCCATGAAAACCAACACTCATGTGCGCGCCTATGCATTCGCGCTTGTACACACACACACACACACACACACACACACACACACGCGCGCGCACGCTGAAAATTATAAAAAATACATATTTTTAAAATGTATAACTGGAAATACTCTTAGTAGGTTTTATTTAAAACAACATTTGAGTTACATTTTAGAGAGAGCATAAGATATGTATCAAAGTTATTTTTTAAAGATGTATTTATTTATTTTATGTATATGAGTACACTGTAGCTGTCCTCAGACACACCAGAAGAGGGCATCTGATCCCATTACAGATGGTTGTGAGCCACCATGTGGTTGCTGGGAATTGTACTCAGGGCCTCCGAAAGAGCAGTCAATGCTCTTAACCACTGAACCATCTCTCCAGCCCCCAGTTATTTTTTAATTTGGATATCTAAATGTTGTAGTGTGGATTGCTAAAATGTGTGCTCTTTCCTCCTCTGTGTGCTGTGTTTCTGCACTGTCTATTCTCAATTCATCTATATTTACACCAATAGTTACTAGTGCCAGGACTTCATCATGCCTCTAAGTTAGTTAAAGTCTTCCAACTTGCTTATGTTTTCAAAGTCGTGCTGACTTTTGCATGTTTATATGAAAATTTCAGGCAACTAGCCAATTTTACAAGAAGAAAGCTTTCTCTGATTTTTGTTAAGATTGCAGTGAGTTTGAGTTTGGGAGCAGCCAACACTTTGGTAAAGCTAAGTCTTCCAACCTGTAAGCACTGTATCACCTCGTTGGTTCTCAACTTCTCATAACATCTTGGAGTGTTGAGTTACCGATCTTGAAACTCCTTATGGACTTAATCCTGTGCACTGAATATATTTGATGCTATTGTGAGATATACTTAAAGTTTCTAAATTTCTACTTGTCTGTTGCTAGAATATAGGAATATGTTAATTTTGAAATGAGTATGTGGTTATTCTTAAGCCTTGATAAAAAAAATCTTAATAATATGGCTGTGTGCATGTGTGTATGGCATGTGCATGTTTTCATTCACTGGCGTGTCAATGTGTTCATATGTATATGAATGTCAGAGGTTGATGTCCAGTGTCTTCTTCAATCTCTCTCAGAGAGACAAGGTTTTTCACTGAACTTGGAGCTTACCTGTTCAGTTAGTTTAGCTGGGAAGGGAGCTCAGGGATATGTTCATCTCTTACAGCACTAGGACTACAAATGTGTTGTTTTTATCTGGGTGCTAGGAAGCTACATTCAGGCTCTCCTGCTTCTGGGGAAAGCACTATACGGAGTCATCTCCACACTCCCTCTAATAATGTTTGAATGTATATATATAGAATGAATATATATATACATACATATGTATATATATATATATATGTGTGTGTATATCTATATCTATATATACATATATATATGTATATATATACACATATATTTACAATTTTGAACATGGGATATCTTTTTGTTTGTGTAGTTATGTATGTACTTTCTTTGGAGGCAAAAATAGCATTAATTGAAGAAAGTACCATATTTTCAATAGAGTGGTTGGAAAACTGCATATCCATACACAGATGAATAAAAGTAGATACCTGTCTCCCGCCAGGTACAAAACTCAAGTCTGAATGGATTAAATGCTTAAATACAAGGCCTGCTACCTTGAAATGCCTAGAAAGAAACATAGAGAAACTGTTTTAAGACATTGTCACTGATAAGGATTCTGGAAGGGAGTACAAACCCCAAGCATTAGAAACAAAAGAAGGTAGACAAATGGGATATCATCGAACCAAAACATTCTGAGGCAAGGACCAATCAGCAGCGAGGAGAGACAACCTACAGAAAGGAAGATTATATTTTCAAATTATACATTTAAACAGATACTATTTATAAATAAACTCAGTCTGTGTCAGGAGCCATCTGCCAAAGGGTAAGGCTAGCAGGCGGCCTTCCTGAAGGCGGCACACTGCTTCTTCATGATCTCTGATGAGTGAGCAGCTCTATGAAGTGAGGTCCCAAAGAGACTTCATCTCAGGATTGCTTCTTGCAGCTGATATGTCTCTCCTGTCATTATTAAATTAATATAATAATCCCTGGACATTAGCCCTCCCTATTGAGCAGATTTCCAGCAGATCAACATAAAGACGAACTTTCATGAATTAATGCTGTTAAGATGAATTAATGATATAACAGAATTCTTGATTTGATTAGAATAATTTAAGGAAGAAAATTTTAAGAGATGGCATTAGTTGTTTTGCTAGAAAGATGCAATAAAGTTAAAATCAAGAATTGAATTGCCCACTCTTCATAATAGTAAGTAAAGGCCATATAAAAAAAACATATATTGAGCTCTCATATTTACACTAAAAAGAGAAATAGGGTCGGAACAAATTTGCATTCAAGGAAAAACATTCAGATCCAAAGATGAAGCTATAGGTGTGCACTATGGTAAGACAAAGCCATGTGAAACTATTGCTTTGAACTTAGAATGAGCATATAGAATGAAACACTGCTCTGAACTTAATATCAACATCCTTTTGTAACTCCCATTTTGTGTAACATTTTACCTAGGAGGTTATTTTCTTTCTAAGGACTTTTGTCTATAAAAGGCAAGAGAAAAGAAATGAAGATGATGGTTTGGTTTGGGGGGAGGGGCTCTGTGCCACCCACACACCCATCCATCCATCCATCCATCCATCCATCCATCCATCCATCCATCCAAATATAGCGATGTAGCCATTTTCTGTTTTATCAGGTGCATGTGTGTCTCTGTGAGTGACATATTTCCTTTCCTTTTTCTCTCTGGTTGAACCAGCCTGGTCAGTGAAGAGCTTCTGGCTGCCTGGCCAGAGAAGTGAGGCATCTAGCAATAAATCCTCTTATTTAATTCCCCACTGCTAAACAGCATATGTTAGCCACCAGATATTAGCACTTATTTAAGCACAAGTAAGAGTTAAGTTTTTAGCACAGAACAGTAATAAAGGGTTAATAAAGAGTTAAATTCCCCAGCACTTAATGAAGCACAGAACAATAATAGTTAAGTTTTCAGTACTTAATGAAGCATAGAACAGTAATAGATAGTTATAAAATATACAGCATTTAATAAACCACAGAGGTTTATAACGTAAAAATAAAGCACAGAGAGATAAAGAGAAAAGAAGCCCCAGAGAGTTAAAGAGAAAAGAATCCAGCGGATTTCAGCCACAGAATAATCAAGAGACTTAAGTCTCCAGAAGCCAGCAGTTAATAGCACCAAGAATAGAGAAAGTCACAAGGCCAGAGAGCATCAGTCTTTTGGCCCTCATCCAACTCTGTCTACGGCCTCAGCCTGTTCCTCTAAGGCTGGACAGGCTCCCAGAAAATGTAGAATATTTATAATATATAAACACGATATAGAGTGCAAAATAAACTCAAACACTCAACTGTAAAATCAAATAACCTGATTAGACAATGGACACTAGACAAAGATTTCTTTAAACACGCAAATGGCCCACAGGTATATGGGAAAATGACTAACAGTAACTGATTATCAGAGAAATCAAAGAAATCACCCCACTCAGGGATGGAAGATTATTATTAAAACCACCAAAGCTACATGACGGTGAGGATCTGAACAAAAGGGAACTCTCACATATGCTGAAGGGAATCAATGTTAGCACTGTCACTATGGAAAATCATATGGAGTGCCAATAAAAATTTAAAATAGAGCTATCATATATTCCAGTACATGTCCAAATAGAATTACATCAGTATGTTAATTACATCTGCACTCCTTGTTTATTGCAAAACTATTCACAGTAGACAAGAAATGGAAACAATTTAACTGCCCATCAGTGGATGGGTGGACAGAGAAAGATGGTGTTTATACACAGTGCAACATTATTCAGTCATGGAAGAGAATGTCTTGTCATATGTGACAACATGTGTGATGGTTAGTGACAACTGTCAACTAGATAGAACCATTGGGGATGGGAAACTGAGAGCCTGTGGAGAATTTCCTTGACTTTATTAACTGGTGTGGGAAGACCCATCTTAACTGTGTGTAGAACTAACCCATGGAAAGGGGATCCTGGACTCTGTAAGGCAGAGAAAGCTGAGGAATAGCATGCTAACTTTGACTACCATCTGCTTCTTGACTTTGGGTGCTTTGTGGCCAGCTCCTAGGAATTCTTGCTGCCTTGACTTTGCCACCATGGTGGGCTGTATCCTTGAACTGTGAGCTAGAATATACTCTTTCTTCCTTAAGTTGATTTGTAAGAATATTTTATTATGGAAACTTAGACAATCTGCACGTAATTGAATGCCAATGTGTTAAATGAAATAAGACATTCTCAGAAGTTAGCAAACAGGCACACTCCCAGGTGGAATAGGAACACTTGACACAGTAGAAGTTGAAAGCACAATGGTGCTCACCAGAGGCTGGAGATCCAGAGGATGCAAGGATAGAAAGAGGACAATCAACCGATAGAGTTAGATACAACTGAGAAACATAGTAGCTTGACTTTAGTTAATAATGGACTGTGTATTTCTAAAAGACAGAAGAAAGAAATTAGAATATTCAACACAAAGAAATAATGGATATTTGCGGCATTATTGAAATACCACGTACTGCTACAAAAGTATGTATAGCTTTATGCTATATGAAACAACTACAGTAAATTTTAACTTTAAAGATGGGAAGAAAATATAAACAGATGTCTTAAGAATATACAGATAGCAAGAGAGCAAGAAAAAGCTATTCGACATCAGAATCACTAAGTGAATGTGAATTACAACCACAACAGTATTAGCATGTCAGACACCAGAAAGAATTATAAAAGGATCACACAGAAGGGCAGGCAGGGCTGTGGAACAGTTGAAAACACGTGTTGGGAAACTATACAATACATTAAGAAACGTCTGCTTACCCTTTAAAAATAATGCGTTATGATCAGGCCAGTCCACATCTAGAATTTATGCATGATAATGAATGGATACACCATATGGTAAACCTGCACATGAATATCCATAGTAGATTTTTTAGTAATGGCCCAAAACAATGTAGATGATTATCAACAGATACCTGTAGAAAGTAAACCATAAAGTGTAATACTGTCAGCAATAAAAATGAGATAATTCTTGATATGCTAAACAGCATTTTAATCTGAAAATGATTCTAAGGAAAAGAAGCCAAACCACAGAAGAACATTTACAACACGAGCCCAATATTAAAATTAAATGCTTGTACAAATCTATAGGAACTCAGAGCCCATTAATCATTGTCTGGGATTGGGTGGGTGAGGAGGGACATGGGAGCAGGACTATAAAGGAGTGTGCTAAAACTTGTGAAGGAAAGGTATGTGCTTATTATTGTGACTGTGGTGACAGCTTCATATATGTGCAAACAGTTTTCAAGTCTTAATGCATACGTGAATACATTAGTTGTTTTTCACAAAGCTTAAGAAACATTACACACATCAAAAATAACCTAGGCAGTGAGAATACTATTAACACCTTATATAGGATTACAAAAGATTAGAATTCAGGAAATATTCAGGGCTCCAAGAAAGAAAGTTGACTTAATGATTCTCAAAAAGTGGGTAAAAGTATAATCAGGAATTTTACATAAAGGATGCATAGGTAACTTTAAAACATGATATTATACACAAAGGCAGAAATTTATCACAAGCCACAACTGGTTAATTATAACTTTTTAAAATAACTTGTTATTGCCCATGAAAAATGAATATGTGCAACTCTACAAACTCAACAACCTCCTATTCAACTATTTGCTATGCGCTTGACTAAATTATACATGTCATTCAATGTACATGCTTATAAGCAAGAATTCTTACAGAAACATAATCCAAATAAGTAATATTCAAGGAGCAATACGAATACAAATCGTACACCACACGGTATGGCCACATACTACCTGTAAGCACACACCACAACATGACTGCCTAGGAAATGTAGTGGGGTAGAAGAGGCAAGGTGTAAATCAATCCTTACCTTTTTTAAATAAATTTCAAAAGCAGACATAACTAAAGAATTATTTTCTAGAGCTGTATGCTTAAGTAGCAAGTTAAGAAAACTCAACAATCTTGCAACAAACACAAAGTAAAACAAGAAAATGACTCCTCCGGGAGTTATCCTCGTGTGAAGATGAAGATCTGGAAAAGTTCACATACACACATTTGGAGTGCGTGTGATAATTTTCTGCTCCTCTTTTGGGCTTTGGTTTGCTGCCACCAACACTGCTGGGTCTGTACATTTATACTTGGACAATATTTTTAGATCAGTTGACTTCACAGTTTGAAACTATTTGAGAGCTCAAAGAAAAGGTAGGATATAAGATGATATAAGATGATGTCTGGACTAGTTACAAGGCTGACAAGTCACCCCCTCCAGAAGAAAGCTTAACACCTGCAGCTCAGCATCATCTGCCAGCTCAGATGGTGGTGGAGAGACTGTGGACGGCAGTTTAGGGGTTAAATGAGTGAACATAAATGCCTTGTATAGTATGTGGTCCAAAGTAAACTTCAACATTTCTAGTTTTCCTGATTCAATACTTTCTGCACTGATTCCCATACTACACACACACACACACACACACACACACACACACACACACACACACGGTGTGGGGAGGAGGGAGGGAGAGAAGAGAGAGGGAAAGAATATTAAAAATACACTCGATAAATCTTCAATACTGATTCCTAAAATCCACTGTAAACCTCAGTACTTGGGAGGGTTTCTGAGCAGCCATGTGTTAGGACTGCTGATGTAGGCGATTCACAGGCTGTGGTGGTGTTACTTCATTAAGATGAGCATAAGGGTCACACTGAAATATATAAAACATCAAAGCTCACACTGAGACCTCACACTTTTCGTTTTCTTTTTCTCTATTTCCTTCTTCAAGCCATTTGAGACAGGATCTTTCTACGTAGCCCCAGGTGAATTTTCCTAAGTCTGCTAAAATAGAGGAGGGCTGCCCTCAATCTTGAGTCATGGTTTGATAGTGATGCTTGTGACTCTGTAGACAAGAAATCAACTGGGTACCAGGCATTTCACTTTCTGTAAGTTAGCTAGCGAATCTAAGCTTCTTGATTGTATATAAGCTTTTGATTATGTTCGTTTTTTTCTTTCACAGATCCTTCCGGCACTGACTTTCTTCCTGCGAGAAATTTCTGTTGTTTGCAGCTTATGATTCTTTCGAGTCAGAGGCTACGTGACCACTTTTATCATCTTGCTCAGAGCAACCTCAAAGACAAGGATGCTGCGTGTGGGAGAACTTACTCTGAGGAACTGTGGGCGACCTTCAGCGCTGCCTTGGAAACGACTCTGAAGCCTATGCTACATCTGTATTGTCTGCGTTGGCTCGTCCCACCCCACACAATCTCACACTCCACACATCCTGCTAATCCTTTTGCCCCCCCTCTTTAGACAGGGATCTGGCCCCTAGATGCATAGATATGCTCATGAAATAACCCCTTATTTAGGACAGTTTTTCATTTCAACAGAACAATTGTGGTTTCAAGTAGCATGCAGTATAAACTCAATCATTTGCATGCAAATTAATACAAAAGTAACTGTCAATTCAAAAGTTATAAAGAGGAAAACTACATTTATTTTTATAATGGTCATGTCATATTCTGAAGACTTAAATAACCATTTGAACTTTCAAGTCAGAAATCAAGGAAGCATATTTAACTGCATTTTCATTAATTGAAACCTAAAGAATTATCTACTTATCAGAATAATTTAAAATTGAATTTATCAGAGTTAAAAGTACTTCCACTCTTTATCCTGCCTGTGTTTCTAAATGTAAGAATTTCCAGTGTACTCACAATGCTGACCACTGACCACTGGCTTGGGATCCTACATCCAGGATCCCAACTAGCAAATCACTCATCCTTTTTGTTGAATCTATTTTAGATTTACTGAACATTGCTACCATAGTAAATTTTAAAGAATACAGAATTCTTAGTTTGTTGGCCAGAACTTTGACCCAGGCCTCGTCGTTATAACATCATTGTGTCTCCATGGCTGGATGTCTTTTTTAATATCTCCAGGGACCCTTGCTTTTCCCAGCTTCTACGGGCCACTCCCATTCTGCAGCTCTTACCTCCTTCCATCCTGAAAACTAGAAGAGGTGCCCAGTCCTCCTCACATCACGCCATCCAATATGTTCTTCTGCCTCCCTGACCAACTGCTAAGGAACTTTGTGATTACACTGTGCCTACATGAATACTCCAGGAAAATGTCCTCTCTTTATAACAGTAACTAGGTATCTTCATTTCCCTGTCACTGAAGATACAATTGCTACAGACATATTCTAGGGAGCACGTGAGTATCCTTTTCATATAGGCAGTAGCATATTACTTATATCTATAAGTTAAAAAAACCAACAACACCCCAAATAATCTATGACATTATGACAAAGTCAGGCTCATTTGGAGGAGTGGGGAGCACTCCAAGACAGTTCCACTAAGAGATTGATGCTGTGCACACAGCTGATGTTGTATTGCTCGGTTTCATTCCAATCTTTCGGATAATCCTGTCCCCCTGCAAATGAGTGTCAAGAGACTGATAACCAGTTGCCTTCTTCTGGGTAAACAGAGAACGTTCAGCCAACATGGGCAACAGAATTTTCTCCTGGTAGATTGAATTGTGGTACAGAAATAGGACTGGAAAGGGGTGGGGATGGATGGTTGATCTGCTTCTGTTTGATTCCCTTGGCTGAATCATCAGAAAACACCAACTCCTGTAGCTCTTTGGAGATGCTTGGCCTTGAGTGTTAGCAGATGCATAGCCTTCCAGCGGATGTCTCTGTAGGGGCCACTTCCATGAGTCTTTCCAAGTCTCTGTTGAATTTCTGACTTTGAACTAAACTGGCTCCTTTTCTGACTACTACTAATTTCCTCTTCTTCTTCCTCTTCCTCCTCCTCCTCCCTCTCCCTCCTTCTTCCTTCTTCTCCTTCTCCTTCCCCTTCTCCTCCTCTTCCTCCTACTCCTTGTCTTCCTCTTCTTCTTCCTCCTCTTCCTCCTGCTCTTCCTCCTCCCCTGTTTTATAGCACCTCATTTTTAGTCACCCTTGTTCATTATTTAAAATCAAAGTTATCCTGAGTGCTTTTCATATTTAACTATATAACTTCAAATATATTGCCAATGGAAACTAATGTATATGTAAATCACAGGGAGTAGTAGAATGATATCTTGTACCCAGATTTTTCTTCTGGCAAAGCTTCAACTCTTTCTACATTACTACACCAAACTCTATGGATTGTCACTATTAATAATATGAATACAATTCTAAGTTCATAGAGTGGGCCAGTTTTCCCTTTGACTTTCATAAAAGGCTCCAAGGAGAAAAACTGACAATTCATGAAAGGTCTTACTTATGTTTAATCTCGTGATTTCAGAAAGAAGCAAAGGGTTTGCAGATTTAGGTGTTATGCTTGTTCTGTCAAGGAGTCAAATTAGACACAACCCAACACCCATACACCAAAGCCTTATGTGTGCTTTTTGTAAATACACTAGTAAAATCAGAGCATCCAGATCACATATAAATCTTCTCCATCTTACATATAGGAAATGGCAAATATATTGTTGCATCTCCCTCTGGTTTTTGTTTTTTACCAACATTCTGAGCTTGTCTTTCAGTCCCTCTTCAAGAAGGGCAAGACATAATTCCACTTAGACTTTAACTAGTGTTTCTTTTTTCTTTCCCCTTTGAGCAAGTTACTTAATAACAATCAGATATGTTAACTTCTTTTCTTGTAAAAGATGAATAATTAACCTTGGATAAATCGATCTTGAATAATGGTAGTCTAATTCTGCCTGACAGAAAACTTGATAGTGTTCTAGATCTGAGCAATTTTTATATTTCTAATTTATTATAAAATGACTTCTTCATTTGGGAAACATTATTATGCCTTTTACCTGATATTAAATTTTGTTCATGACCTAACTACACAACAGTGAAAGATTATGTGAACTAAGTATTCATAATAACTAGAGTCCTATGGTGCCAAATTGAGTCCCTGCTTATGTTTATGTGATGTAAGATGGTATAAAATCAAAATAGCTTGGCCATACAAAGAACAATCAATTTGTTTATCTGTCCTGGTAAAAGAAAAAAAAATAAAACAAAATAAAAAACCTAAGTGCTTTCATTCCTGTACAACATGTTGGAGGACGCTTTACCTCAAAAATTCTTAACAATCAAGTAAACAATGTAAGAAGTTGGAATTATAAGGAAAAACTAGAATGTAAATATGCATTTAGTATTTTTAAAAAGATTTCCTCACTCTTGAGTTTATGGGAACTGGGGGAAGTAGACAGCAGAGCCTCACTGTTTTTCTCCTCTGTAAAATAGAGATGATAAAAGCTAAATTTATTTAAGATTGAGGTCATTGTTCCTTCCTATAATGAAGTATAAACTACTGTTATGGCACTTACCACCTGAAAACTCAGGCCAAGTTACTTAATCCTTTTTGACATCTATTTACTTGAAAAAAATGCCAGATATATATATCCTCTATATGTAAGCTCTCTTCTTTGTTAGGTATTGTTGTGATGATTAGGTTAAAATAACAAGAATGTTTTTACAACAACAATAACAACAACAAACCAATTTCTAAAGCCGTTTGCACTGTTTTTTCCTTCTACACAGCACTGCATGCTCACAGGTTAGAGAAAATACGATACTGAAGGACTATCTTTCCCTGTACGACCTGCTTCCTACTGTGACAGCCCATAGAGAGATGAAGTACAGGCTTACCCCATGCTTGCTTATGGTGTAGCAAAGTGACTGGTGACCCAAAGCAGCCAGTGTACCATTCAACCAAGCTAAGGACAGCTAAGGAGTTTTGCCATTTGTACAATTCAGAGATAGTCTTTTACATAGTATGTGAGTAATGATTTCCTATTGAGAATGCTTTTCTAATTATCAAAAGCCACATGTATGCAGTTATAAGTGTTCATTAATATTAACTAATCAATAACCACACTGTACTTGTAAAGCATGATTACTCAGAATACTTCCACTGCCCCATAAAGCCTGTACATATATCTAATGACTAGCATGAATGAAAAAAGTAACTATGCATAATTTGGTGCTTTCTTTTAATATTATTTCCAATCATGTGTCTCTAATAATAGGGCAGACATCTATTTAGTAAATCATTACTAAATGAGCAGGATAAACAAACCATGATACTATAAAAAATGACAAATTTAAAATTGCTGATCATGTTTTCTATATTGTAAACAAATAATTTACTTTCCTCTTAAAATAGACAGAGGAAAGAGAGATGAATTTTAAAAACTGTACTTACTGTCAGAATGTTGTGAGGGTATACATAACTTCCTTTTATGTACGTGTGTATGTATGTTCACATAATGTAGACCCACCTGTGTGTGGAGGTGCACACGTGTGAGCATGTGCAGGGTCCACACTCATGTGAGGAGTCTCCTTTCATCATTTTCAACCTTTTATAAAGCAGCATGACTTGTTGAACCTAGAGTTCTTAGGTTCTATCCTCTGCCTAACCTAGCCTGGCTAGTGAGCTTGCTCTCAGGATTCCACCTCTTCCTCCTTCCTGGTAGCGAGCATCCCCACTGTTTTTTAGGTAGGCTGTAGAAACAGAAACCTGGTTCTTAAGCTTGCCAAGTAAAAGCTGGACCTGATGAGCCATCTCTTAAGGTACCACGTTTCTGAGAGATGACAATGGCCTCCTTTCAAAAGGAAGGATACATGGAGGCTTCTCTCTTACTAGAGACTCATGACTGGAAATAATGTAAAGGGAAGAGAAAAATCACGTACACTTTTATGATTTAAGCTAGTTTCCAGGTCTGTACACATATTAAAAGTCACCGTTAGGAAGGCAGCAAGAGTATTCTAAAGGGTCTAGGAAGGTCTTTCTCAGACAAAGTCGGTAAGATTTGGAGTGCTTGTTAGTGGACTTTTAAAGTATAAAAAAAAAAATCACATTCACAAAGCTAAAACTGGAAAAGGGTGTGATATCACTGGGTGCTGACACAAAACCTCACTTCCTGTGGTCTACTTGTTTTCTTTTCTCCCCCCTCCAACCCCCATCTCTCTGTAAGACAGGGTCTGTGTAACCCTGGCTATCCTGGAACTCACTATGTAGATGAGGCTGACCTCAAACTCAGAGATCCACCTGTCTCTGCTTCCTTAGTCTGGGATTACAGTATGGGATTACAGGCCACCATGTCTAGGCTATTTGCTTCCTTATTATTGTTATTCTATTTGTATGTAACAAAAACTCAGGAAACTATATATTCAATATTTTCAAGGAGTAAACTAATCGTCTCTTTTCAATTCAGTGGTATTTCATATGGAGGGAATGCAATTCACCACAACACACATGTCTAACTTATAGTATGGACAGAAGTCACACTTTTTCCCATTTATTTATGTATTCATTCATTCATTCATTCATTCATTCATTTTACATCCCAGTCTCCCCTTACGAAGTCCCTCTATCCATCCCCTCCCCTTCACCTCTCAGGCGTCTGGGCCCCCTGGGTATCTTCCCTGACCCTGGCACATCAAGTCTCTGTAGGGTTAGGCAAATCCTCTCCCACAAGGCATCCCAGATAGGGGACTAAGATCCACAAACAGGCAACAGTTTTAGGGACAGGCCCCCTCCAGTTGTTGGGGGGGGACCTACATGAAGACTGAGCTCACACTTTGGAGCCCAGCTGCTTATCAGAGGGACAGAACACTTTTCTCTATCTGTCTTAGTTAGGGTTTTACTGCTGTGAAGAGATACCATAACCAAGGTAACTCTTCTAAAGGACAACATTTAATTGAGGCTGGCTTATAGTTTCAGTTCAGTCCATTATCATTATGGTGGGAAGCATGGCAGCATGCCGGCAGGCATGGTGTTGGAGCTGAGAGTTCTCCATCTTGATTCACAGGCAGTAAGGAGGGACTGTGTCGCTGATCTTAGTACAGGAAACCTCAAAGTCCACCCTTACAAGAACACACTTCCTCCAGCAAGGCTACACCACCTAATAGAATCACTCCGTACGGCCAAGCATTCAAACACATGAGTCTATGGGGCCCATGCTTACTCAAACCACCACACCATCCCACTTCAGTTTTTGTGTGGGTTCTTTGGTTGGATCTAGGAACTGAAAAAAATCAGAGCTGATTAGCCAGAGAAACAGGTAAATTATTAATTTTACAAGCACATGAAGATCTTCACAAAAAGTAAAGTCTGAAGAAGTGACTGATAGAGTATTTTCATACTTCTTTGGATAAATAACACATTTGGAACGGACTAAACGGACAGATATATATGTTGATGATAGCACACTAAGTTCCTGGCATGGTCTGAAGAGATATGTATGTAGTGGTATGTTCAGGAGTTATGTCACAGTTTATTCCAGTTCATGGTAGCCCCAATTAATAGTATCTGGTGATTAAGGTTATTTTCTGACCTTGGTATGTAGAGGATATCTTCCCCACACAGTATAGCTTGCTGTAATGAAAGAGCACCAATAGTCTATTCTGAAGTTATAATTTTTCAATTCATGTTAAATCAATATAATAAATATACCATTCTGGCACTTTTCAAGATGCTATGGCTTTACCTTCTTCATTTCAAATTCTTCTAATTAAGTACTAGCTGTGCAACTTTGGATAAGTCCTTTAACGTCTCTGTGCCTCAGCTAGATCTTAAGTAAAACAATGATAGTAATGCTACATTTTCATAGGGACTTTATGAGGAAACTAGTTACTATCTGTACAACACTTAGAACGAAGTATACTTGGTGTACATGCTTGGCAATTTAACATACTTGCCAGTAAGAAATAGAAGCATGAATTTGTTTAGAATCTTCCAGCCACAGCTGCTTTTTTCCCCAGTAACAAAACTTTAAAACTGTTCCGAGAAATCTCCTTAGCTTACTTTCCAGCCAACAACCATCCGTTCATTATACACTCATTTGTGGTTTGTGCTGCAGACAAAAAATAAATTTACATGGTCTCGGCCCTTCCAGAAGTTAATCTTTCTGTTCTAAATTTGGAATGCTTGCTTAGATAGCAAACGCTCAAAAGAATAGAAAACAAAAACTACTAGAGGGCTAGGTGATTAACTATCTAATAACCTCGCGGAAAACTCTAGCACTCTAAGATGCATAGAAGCGCAACAATCAATTGGGAATGTGTTTATTTTGAAATCTACACATGAAACTGGTGACTGTGATGATGCACATAACGTACTTGTGTAAAAACAGTAATGCATTCCCGTATCTCTCCTTAGAAAGTCTGACAGAATTTGTGAGGGTAATCAGGTGAGACCATGAAGAGGGAGGGAACTCGGGAAGGGAAAACCTGTCAAGAAAGCTGGTGATTGACCTGGTGCGTTAGGAGAATACCTAGAAAAGCGAAGGGAAGACGTTCCAATGACAGCTGGGAGCAGAGAAAAGGCATTCCTAGCCAACGCTGACCTGAGGATCAGCAGGACGCGGAGGGGCGCACGCACGTTTCTCCACCCACACAGAAAGATCCAGTGAGAACAGCCTTGGCGTGCGGAACGCGCGCCACACGGATGCGGGAGCAGGCCGAGCCCTGGCACTGTGCCCCCCGCCCGGCTCTAGGGCACCGGATGCCACGGCGAGGAAGGATTTGGGGTGCTTCCAAGCTAACGGTTCCCATGTCCCTCGCTACCTCGAGGTTAGCCTCCGAGGACAAGCCCAGCATCCACACCCGAGAGCACTAGGTTAACGCTTCAGGCCTGCACAGAGGGGCTCCGGCCCGCCGGGGGGCTTGAGTACGTCACTTCCGGCGCGCCCGCCCGGAAAGAGGCGGAGGTCGCACTCCGGGTGTGCGGCTACTGGGGACGCGCGGTGTCGGGGACGCGCCTGGAGGGCGGGCTCGGGAAGGGGGAGTGTCCGCGCGCCGCCGCCACCGCCACAGTTCTGCGGGAGAGCTCGCAGCATCTCTCCTCGACACCCAGCCACTCGGTGCACCCGGACGCCGCGCTCCAGGGTCTGTGGGAGCCCAGCCAAAGCGGGAGTTGCTGCAGACTGTGGGGCGGCGGGACGGCCCCGGTCCCCTCCCCTCCGTCACCTCTGCTTGCCGACACCCGGGTCATGGGGAACACTGCGATCGCCAAGAAAGGCAGCGAAGTGGAGAGCGGTGAGTCGAGTCGAAGGCCCTGGCTGGGTTCCCGCCGGATGGGCCGCGGTGCAGCGCCCTGGACCGGAGTCCCCCAAGGCCGCGAGCCACGGGCCAGGCCTTGCAGTGGCCACGGCTAGCAGTTCTAGGGGCCCCGGTGGCCGGCCGCCTCCTTCTCTGTCCCCTCCCCCACTAAGGCTCGGGGTGGGGGGGAGGGCCAAGCACCGGGGCTTACTGGAGAGAGGGAAGGCCGGCAGCGCGGTCCCTGTGATCCCCTTTCCAGTAGGAGCGAGGAGGGCTACCACGGTCTGGAACGCTTCCCCAAATATGGTCCTTGAAAAGAAGTCCCTTTTGTGATCGCACTCTTAGCTTTTCTCCCTTCTCCCAGAGCCCCTAACACCCTGACCCTCTTTTAAGGGAGCTACAGGTAGTGTGTTTGGGTTGAGTTGGCTCTTTTTCTCCTCTTGGATGTATATCAATTTTATCACAAGGTGAGTGCCAGTGTGGGTCTCCAAAGGTGACGTTAACCCTCAGTGTCTAAGGTTCTTTCTTTCACCCAGGCGATAAGAGATGGCAGACATAAACACAAGCAGCAACTTTATCCATTCGAGGAGAAAAAAAAAGTGAGACAGCTTTGCTTTTACTCCAGACATCCAGGAGTGTGACAGGATGCCTGTAAAACTTACAGGTATTTCCGAGTTAAAGTGCTTTCTTCTGAGAGCCCCAAGTGCAGACAGTCAGTACTTTATACAAAATTTCAAGACAAAAGAGTTGTGGAAATTGAATTTCTAAGTAGCAGCGTGGTATTTTTTTATGTAAGCATACACGTATACTCGTGTAGTGTAACAGGTTGTGAAAAATTGTGTCATTATACGGTTCATATTATAATTGATAATTCAGAATAATTAAAGAACGGTACTTGGCTTTTGTTACATTGCCATAGGTAAATGACATCTCAGCTCTTGAAGTAAGTCTGACAATTTGTTCATGTTTCTGTAAATTGTATCTGCCATTGTGTCTGTGTTTATAACAGAAGACTGGAGAGCTAATCTTGTCATTAGCTTGAAGCAAACACCCTTTGCTCCTCATGAACAAAGCAGAATTGAGTTGACAGAAGAGGGTCTAGCTATTGCTTTTGGGGAATGTAAACAACAAAGTCAGATTTAATGGGTTATGTTTCATTAATAAGGTTTTTCCAGGAAAGTTACGTGAACAGCAGTGCCAACTGTAGGTGAGCATGTGACAACTTGAAAAGCCAATGTAGAAATAGGACTTCCATGTTACCTTTTGTTAATTGTGCAAATGTAGTAGTAACTAATTGACTCACAAAAAAATGAAGTATGAGAAAATTTTATATCCACTTAACATTGCTGTTGCCCTATTTCTCATGTACAATGTATGCTAATTGTGTTATGAAAATGTGCTTGGTAGTAATTTTCTTAGCAAGTGCTGTCTTGCACAGTTCTTGTATTTTTAATGATAGTCCACTCTCCAGTAGTCTGTACATTCTGCTCTTATGCTTCCACTAGGTTCCCCCCAGATGATGTGAATTTAAACTGGTAGCTATGACAAAGTCTTGTGTGAATTTAATTTATAGAATCTGAAGATCATTAGAATAATTTGCAAAATATTGTGAAGTGTCAAAAGAAGATAGCAGATGTCTCATGGGAAAATCATATGAGACATTTATAGATCAGTTTACATGGCTTCACGTGGAGAAATGTTAGCTGATGTGGGTTAGTGTTCTTCTGAAGCAAAGAAGTGGTATTATGTTGTAAAACTTAATGATAGAACATGTCTTACCATCGTGTACCTAACTGTTCTGTGTATTTTTCAAATGAACTATTCTTGAAAATTTGTGGCTCAATTTAAATATAATTATTTGATTTCTCTTAATACACAGAATACACTTTTAGAAATACATGTGATCTTAAGAGTTCAAGTTCTTAAGCGTCTATGCAATCATCCTATCTCAAGAGCCAACCAAGTGCCAGACCTGAAGAAGCAAGGGTTGAGATCATATTCTTAACAAGAGAGTAAAGAACAGCTCTGATGCTCTGCCTGCATCTAGCATCACTAAGTAATTACTGTGTCCTCTTTCAGAGTAGTTACCACCTGCTTTGGGTTTCCTTGTAGACCTGTGGACAAAATCCTAAAGTGTTACTATGTAGCATCATGTGAAAGGCAGACTGTAAGTGCTGGCATTGAGAGTAAAATTAGAGCATGAGAAGTTATCAGCAGGGAAGTGTTTGATTTGAAGAGCTAATTAAAGATATGAAGGTAAGATCTGTACTTTGATGAGGAAGAAGCCTCCCACAGACAGGTAATTCTAGAGCTTAATTCTAAAAATACTCCCAAAGAATGAAGTTAGGTATAAAGATAAATGAGAAGGCTTTGGGGGTTTGTTTTGTTTGGGGGGGTTGTTTTTGTTTGTTTTTTTATGTCAGTGTTGTTTTAGTTTGATTTGGTTTGGTTTGACTTTGTTGTTGTTGTTGTTGTTAGCTTTGACCATCCAGGGCTTTGCTCCTACACCCACAAAATTAAAGGATCCCATTCTGATTGCTACAGTTTCTAGAGAGAAACTATTTTGAATTCCTCAGGGAACTGGGGTGTTTCAAAGAACAACTTTTGCCATTATGTAAGTCTCCTATGTGTTTTTAAAATTACTCTTGAAATAAATGTCTTCCAAAATTTAAGTATACTTATTTAAACATTATTTAATACACAGAAACTTTTAGAACTTTTAGAAACAGGAGGCTACAAGTTTCAGAGATGTTTTCAACCCTTGTAATTCAAGAATGATTTATTTTTGAATTAAGTATGTTATTCACATAGCCTTATTAATACAAAAGAAGGAGGAGAAGGAGAAGGAAGAAGAAGAAGAAGAAGAAGAAGAAGAAGAAGAAGAAGAAGAAGAAGAAGAAGAAGAAGAAGAAAGCCCCATGCTTTTTTTTTTAAATCTGGAATGTTTTTGTTCTTTTAAAAACATACATGACATCTCCAGGCTTTCTGTGGCGTTACGTGTGTATCACACATGGTAAGCATGTCCAGGTCTATGGGTAAAAACTCTTGGGTGTTAATCCTCCATGAGAAGAAGTAGACAAGCCGCACTGTAGCCCAGAGGTTGTAGAATGGCTTTTGGAAATGATTTTGAAGCTTAGACTGGGTTAGGTGGCACACACCTTTAATCCCAACACTGCAGAGGCAGAAGGCTGATCTTTTGAGTTCAAGGCTAGCCTGCTTTATATAAAGTTGAGACCAGCAATAGTGACATTGTGAGATATTGCCTCAAAAGAAAGAAAAGGAAAAAGAGACCTTGAGAGTAGGTAGAAACTGATCAAAAAAAATCATTAGTAGATAAAGTTCAGCAAATGCAAACTTGTTAACATTTTGGAGAACTAGTGTGTGTCTGTTTCTCTGGGCACTTTGCACACGTTGCCATACATACTTTTTCAAACCATGTGGAATGGTTCTAATGTTGCCCCATTTTAAAAAATGGGTAAAGAAGTGATGTGTAACTTGTTAAAGGTTTCATAGTAGTTAATCAAGGAGTGACATTTGAACTTAGGCAGGTTAGTCTCAGAGCCTCTGACCCAAAGGGTCCTGCTGAGCAGTCTTTTTGAGTACCCAGCAGAAAGTCAGGTTCAGGACACAGAGAACAGCCAGTTTTTTGTTTAGTTTATTAATGATAACACACTGTGTTTCTTCCAATGATGACTCTTTTTGGATCTGCTAACTATCTTAAATAAGAAAGATAATCATTTCTGTACCATTTTCTGGATTCTTATCCTCATCTAAAAATGGGAGGAAGAGCTAAGTTACTTTCTTTAGGTATTTCATTTTCTATTTGGTAAAATGCTAAATTAACTATATATAATTAACTTTCTACTCTTAAAACCTTCATTGCTATATGATTTATTCCTTGTTTCTAATTGTGTACCTTATTTTCCTGTTAGGTAGCAAGTCAAGAGGTCACTTGAACTTACATTGCTGTTATTAATGGATTTTACATAGTTCTATGACAATAGCTATGTTCTCCCGCTTCGATGCTCAGTGAAGTGGGTTCTACCTCGATGTAGCTGTTGAGAACTTGGAAAGCAGCTGCACCACTGAAGAACTGATCTTTTACCTTGCACTTGTCTAGATGGTGTTTGACAAGAGCTGTCTTTACATATAATAAAAACACCAACCCTTATCCTATAATTTTGGTAATTTGGTAATAATCATGAAAGTATTTAAATGAACAAAATTCTAGAGATATATTTTCTCAAAATCATTAGCATTTCTTCTAAATAACAATTTATAAAAATAGTGAACAAATTAAGATATAGTAGTTTGATATACTCACAAAGTTCCCTTTGGTGGAACTTAGTTATAAATATAAGACTGTATATTTGATTGAAAATTTTTTAGGGTCAATTGTTGACAAGAAATGAAT